TATTTAATGATACCCTTTTTAAAGATACCTATTTAGTGATACCTATTTAAAGATATTCCTACTTGCTGACCATATGTCTGTTCCGTATCTCGCCATCCATCGGGGTGAAATCACTGCCATCTCCTTAGCAAAAGCCATAGACTACACTTAGGGGATGAATGGCCGTTACAGTTGACGCGGCGTTTATAGCTGCTAATCAATCACGAGTAGTTTTAGCACAAGTTGTGCTTGAAATTTATGCAATTAAAAAATTATGTTTTGAAAAGCTGCTGGTATGTTTTTCTTACGAACAAAAGGGACGCTTAAAATAACTGTTCATGTTTTATTTTCTTGGAAACCAGGATTTTCGTTAATTTCAAATTTAGATGCTATAGAAGAAAATATGTGCTCTTGTAGCACCCACTAGTTATTGCTGAGAAGGATTCATTTCTTGTAAGAAGGAGCGGTCGACCGGAAATCGATGACGGATCTGTGACCTCCGAATATTTCCACCGAGGCGTTGCTTTACGTACTTTTATAACGGGCGGTATCAAAGTTCGTCCTTTCAAGTCGCAGCAGAAGGTTCCAACGAAGCACGAGTGGCACAACACAATCAGCCACTGGCCCACAACGGCCACAACGTGGTACTCGAAACCGCCGTCGTTCTGTTTCCATTTCATGGCGTCCTTTCCTGAAATGCATGATCGCATCAACAAGTACTACAACAGTTGCGTAGCAGTGAAACTCCGATACCTGAAGAATATCAAAAGAGTTGACGGGCCAATGGTGAACACTACAATCTTTTTTTTTACATTCTCGCGTTCTATGCAATTGATACATTGAGTTTAGCAAATTGACAGCGGAAAACGACAATTTTTCGATAGATAAAAATTGTATTTCAGGCTACTGGTAAAGAAAACCCTTGTTCCTGAATGTAGAGATATCCTTCCTCTCTCATATTATGTAGCCAGAATCCACATTTTATGTGCTTTTGGTTCCGAAATACTGGTTTGCGGCAAAACATCAGTCGATCTGTCCGTGTGTGAGGGTAAACCGTAAGCACGTTTTTCACAGTCACCCAGAAAACGCCGATTCTGATAACCGAATACCGACGGACAGACCGACGGACAGACCGACGGACAGACCGACGGACAGACCGACGGACAGACCGACGGACAGACGTTCTGCCGTCTATCTATTTTTCGGTATTAAGGACCAACAAAATATGGATACTGGCTACACCATGTGTTAAAGAATTTGCTTCTAAATTTAGCAACTGGATTTCTCCACTTGTTCGTTACCAGCACCCCCAAATAATAGTTTTTTGCCAAAAATCCGCCGTTAGCAGTAAGCAGGTCGCCCGTCGGGAATATGTGTAACTGTGAAACCACCAATCAGAAGCATTCCACAAAATTTGAGTAATGTGTAGAATTTTTATAAGAATTAACGTGGTGGAAAATCTTAATAACAATGATTTGGCGAAAAGTGATCTTCTTTGTCATGTACAAACCCTGACATTCTTTGGGAAGGTCAGGCACTTACAGATTTCTACAAGCCTTACGAAACAGTTTCTTTATTGTATTTTATTTAGTTTACGTAAAAAACAGTTAAAACATGCATATGTACGAAAAGTGTACATGTACAAGTTTTGTGAGGATTCCTACCGTAAGACATATAATAGTTGAATTCTGAATATAGAAATAAATTCGCGTTTTTGGCAATTTTTTATAAAAAATATTCACTCTGAATTAATAAAATATATTATTAAGAGGAAATCAGCTATGGATTTGGGTTCCTATCCCTGATTATGTCCTTCATGAAGGAATAGACTTCCCGCCCCCGCCGCGACATCATTGAGTACGATAATTTGAATAACTATCTTTCCCACAAAGCTCTAGACGAGTACACAGAGAAGTTCCATTTATGTGCAATGGCAAAACAAGTGGTCACATCAGCATTTACAAGAGGATCATGGAAACTGGGCGAAAAACCTGCTCGAGAGGGGTCAATCTCCCAAGCGTTAGCTCACCATTGAACAACCTCCAGGCGACGTGTCCGGAGACAGCATGTACTAGGCTCAGTAATACGATGAACACGCTTAAGGTTGTTTGAATAGCCCAGATGTTGCGCTTCGTGGGACTCAATATTGTGGAAAGATATGTCTGCAACACAAACTAATTCAATTTCAATGTTTTTCCAAAGACAAAAACATAAATAACTGCAAGTGTTTAGTTATTACAAGCCGAATATTCACATTTGTGCGTTTTACGTCGTCTAACAATAGTTGTAAGGTTAAAGATCATTACCTCGAATGCAGAAGGGATATTCGGATTTCTCTTGTGCCCTAGGCTATTCGTAGTAGCCTTGTGTCTAGCAAAGAGCAATATGCGGAGCCACGAACGTGTACGAAGAGAGACGAGCGGGGTCGAGCGATCCGAGCGAGAACGTTCTTCCTTGAATCAGAAGCTTTCTCGCAGAGTTGTGACTCATCGCTACGTATGTCCAAGTTGAGAACGAGGTTCGGGCCTTCATCCCTCACGTTAACATAAAACATCATTGAGTCTGTCCAACGCATTTTATGCGAATACGCACCTCAAATGTCATCTGTAAAATAAAAAATAATAAATTCCTACCGAGCGAAGTGGATCAGTGCGTAGTGCGTTGGATTCGCAATTGGGAGGTCCGCGTTCGTTCACCAGGCCGGCGATCCCGTCCGGGATTTTCGCGGTTTCCCTCTGTTCGAAGGCGAATGCTGGGAGGGGATGGTTCCAAAAGCCCGCGAACACCTCCCACCTTCCACTGCCCCACCTAACACCTACCATCACTGTAGACATCCATCACCCTTTAATAATAGTAACAACAATTCCAACAACAATAACGTCGTCCTACTACCCCTAATTGATATTCAAGGCCAACGAGCTGGTCTTAACAAAGGGATGCAGCCGAAAGGCTGATAAGCCTCTGAGAGAGAAATGTGTTGCTTGCTCAGTAGTGGCCCACACACGGATGATGATAACAATAATAATAATAATAATATAATATTATAATAATATAATAATAATAATATAATAATAATATAAAAATAATAAAAATTATAAATTTCTGACAAATGTAAAATTAAAGCTTGGAAGTCCGATCGGCTTGCCCGAAACCTCCGCTCGCCTATCTTCGTTATTCATTCGTGGCCCCGCATTTTGCTCTCCCGAGGCACAATCCTGTACTAGGCGGCAAACTGGAAGTCCAGTGGTTGCGTAGAGAGAGAAAGAAAAAGAGAGAAAGAGAGAGAAAGAAAAAGAGAGAGAAAGAAAAAGAGAGAGAGAGGGAGCATATTCTTCCTTTATTGCCAAATTTCTACTCTCATTCTCTTCCTCTAAGCGTTTTAACACCTGCCTACCTCCAGAAGCTAAGAACAATTAGAGGCAATATTTATTACAGACAATATTTCTGAAGATAATTTAAAACAATTCGCTTTTAGAAAGCCATATTTTTTTAGTTATTAGTTATTAACACAACTGCAATATTATCCTTTCATTTAACTATAATTGTAAAAAAGAATGCGGTATAAAAAATAAAATATTTAAAAACTACTTTTATTTCAAAATAATGTAGAAGGTAGAATTAACTAGAACACCTCTTTTTACTTTCTCGCTATTGCTTACGCAGTAGAGAGAAAGTTATATAACGCTCCGGGAAAAAATGGCGGATTTTCCGCAGAAAAACTCTTTATTACAGCGTTCTGGTAATGAAAAAGGTGATAAATCTAGTTGCTAAATTAAAAAAAAAGTCCTCTAACGTGTGGTGTATCCATAATCCATGTTTTGTGAACTCTTGATACCAAAAAATCGATTGACAACAAAACGTCCAACACCAAAAGTTGAGTTTCCAAATTTAATCGAAATCAGTCGTTTCATTTATGTGAAAATTCAAAAACTGTCCCAAAGGTTACATTTAAACTACCCTCCAAATTTGAAATGTCGATTTCAAATTCAAAGGACCGCGACAACAGCCAGTTTGATTGAGGAATATCTATTTTCGAGAAAATCGGCTTAACAGTTTGATGGACGTTGGGGCATTGGGACGGTTAGCCATCATTCGATTTTAGAAATCAAGTATCCACAAATCATGGAATCTGACAGAACTTCGTGTTAGAATTTTTTTCTAAATTTAGCAACTGGACTTCTCCCCTCGTTCGTTACCAGAACCCTGTAATAAATATTTTTTCTGTGGAAACTTTTGACGCTTTTTTTCTTTTCGCGCAAGCCAGAAGGCGAAGACCCTTCCCCCACCCGGAATCCACGCAAGAGCCGGCATCCGGTCCAACCTAGTTCCACCTGGCAGCAGGCGTAGACGGCGCCGGCTCCGATGTACAGGAAGGCGCCGACCAGATGCGACAGATTGCAGTGCGTCTTCTGGAAGTTTGCCACCATGAGGATGCCGACGCACATGGTGGGGGCGCTGAGGGCCGCCACGAGACCGCACAGTTCGCCCCGGCGCCAGCGCCGCAGGCGCCCGCTGCTGCTGCCGCCGCCGCCCCCCGTCTCCGCCTGCGCCTCCGCCTCCGCCCGCGCCCTCTCCTCGCGCAGCGCCGACTGCGTCTGCACGTGGCGCACGTACAGCATCCACACCACTGCGGCACACCGCCAAGGAGCGATTCCGGGCGCGCCGCTTGCTAAGGTCATTACTTGATTCGTTGGCGATCATTAGTCCCTTTCGGTTGATCGATTCCGTTCGCGACAACTGTTAAGGTCATTACTTGATTCGTTGGCGATCATTAGTCCCTTTTGGTTGATTGATTCCGTGCGCGACAATTGTTAAGGTCAGTACGTGCTTTTTGATTGACTGATTGATCAATTCACGATTTCCGGATCGTAATCTGCTAAGGTCATTAGTCTCTTTTTATCGATTGATTACCAATTCCAAGCGCGTCAACTGCTAAGGTTATTAGTTCCTTTTTGACTGTTTGATTACCAATTGCAAGCGTGTACAATGCTAAGGTCATTAGTTCCTTTTTGATTGATTTATTAGTGATTATGGACGCATTAGCCGCTACGGTCATTACTTCCTTTTTGATTGATTCACTGGAGATTCCGGGCGCGACAACTGCTAAAGTCATGCATCCCTCTTTGATTGATATATTCCGTGAGCCTCAACTACAAAGGTTATTAGATCCTCTTTGATTGATTGATTGATTGATTACCGATTCCGAGCGCATAAACGGGTAAGGTTATTAGTTTCTTTTTTCTGAATGATTAGGAACGACGAAGCGCGTAAACTGGTAAGATCATTAGTCCCGTAAGAGCAGTAATTTGTAATTGCGGGAAGTGCTTCCTCCCTGGACGGTGAGATCCGGCGCCGACTAACCTGTCGGCTACCGGTTTGACATCCCCCCACAGTCGCACATCCCCCCACAGTCGCACATCCCCCCACAGTCACACATCCCCCCACAGTCACACATCTCTAGCATCCTCAACAGCGAGAAGTCATCGATGTCTGAACATTATCAACGCCCGAATATCTGCAACTATCGAATATAATTTGTCAATCTTCTTCGTGTGACAAACATCTCGAGCTGCTGAATATCTTCGATCAACGAATATCCCCCCACAGTCGCACGATAACCCCGATTGTTGATCTTGCCCGTCAATCATCTCCACCTGTCAATTATCCCTCGCCGCTAACACTCACGGAAGATCGTGGCGGTGCTGAGGCCCATGGAAAACAGGCAGCTCTCGGGGGCCGTGGATCCCATGTCGCTGATGTACGGGAACAGCGGGTTAATGTGGCCGTAAGCCACCGCCATACCGTACCTGTGGGGCAGAGTAATTCACATTAGAAATTATGAAATGCATTCATTTAACTCACACTTCATTCGGTTAATTCTTGGTCAGAGTTTTTTTCCCACTTTCAAAACTTTGGACGTAAATGGCTGCAATGAAAGTAACCTGCGTCTCCCGACTATTTATTAATTAATACTTTGTCATGGAAAAGGTAATCTATGTTCGGTGGATCCACTCCCCCCAATCCCATTCGTTCTACTCACACCCACCGGGGGCAGGTGGCTCAGAGCATTTTGCGCGCGATTTACCACAAACAAATTATGGCCATATAAAAAGAACTAGTGATGCTAAAACAGCACAAACTTTATCGTTTTTAGCAATAGTTATGTAATATTTTTATACTAGTTATGTAATACATTTTTTAATAAATTATAAAAATGAACTAATGTTCAATCATTTGAAATTTTAGCTATCAATTTTCTTTTTCACAAAGCCACTCTTAATTTTGTGGATGATGTCCTAAATTACACAACGCATTAAGAATTATTTGCCTTCGGTGTTAAGGAACAATTAAAAAGCCATTATACTCTCGTCAGACCGTCAACTTTATGTACTCCGACATCAATGCATTGAGAATATAAATTGTAGGATTAAGTAAAGTAAAAGTGCGAAAAAGCAAAAATATAATTAATATTGACATTTTCAATAGGGAATTATAATTAAAATGATATTCATTATTTCTCATATTCAATTTTTCTCATGGCCCGTTGGTGGTGTGAAACCAGGAGTTAATTTTGTACAACAGACTTAGTCTGAGACATAAATCTCTACATCCAGTTTTTAAGTTTTAAAACGTGTTTTCCAATTTTCGAAAAATCGGGAATGTCAACGGAAATGGGACCTGCACCATTCTCTTAAACGTCCATTGCACTATTCAACAACAAAATTTAATTAAAAGAAATTGGAGCATTTTTTTAAATTTTGAAAAAGTCCCAGGGACTTAGTGTAAAATACCCTCCAAAAATAAAAAAAAATCGGTTTCAAATTTCAGGGTCCACGACATGAGCTATAACGGTTCGGGAATATCAATTTTGGACAAAATCGCCCGAACGGTTCATGCGCTAGGGTTGTGCACAGTGGGACGGATGGACGGATGGACTGACATCAATCGATTGCCGTCAATCGATTTTTCGGTATCAAGGACCCACGAAACTCCGATTCTGACTACACCACGTGTTATAGGAATTTTTTTCTATTTAGCAACTGAATTTATCCATTTTTTCTTTCCAGGGCCAGGCAGTAAGAATTTTTGTGTCGAAAATTCGCAGTTTTCCGGCGCACGATTACAATAGTTTCTCTTCTTACATTAGTAAGTTCGTAGTAAGTGCAAAGTAGATGAAATAATACGAATAAGATAGCTGCTGCTTTTCACATTCAGAATGATTCCAAGTGTATATACTTGTAAACTTGATATTGTACTAACAAATAACGTACTACCCAACTTTTTCGTACGTGCCTTCGGGATACTAATTTCAAAATGCCGGACTCGTCTTCTGTGCCGCACTTTGACCGTCAGCTTTTCATTCGAAATACATTTTCTGTATTGGTTACATAAATAATTACAGTAAACACTCGTTAGCGCGAACTGCCCTATCACGAATTTTGCCGTAACACGAACAAAACCTGGGTACAGGCAAGGGATTACTGTAATACGGTCATTTATATTAATCGGATAACTCGATTTTTTTATAGCACGAATTCAGATTATTTCGGTCCCTTGGAATTCGCGTAATCGAGGGCTTACTGTATTTCAGTTTGTAAACACTTTTCCAACTCCATTACTTCTAGATAGTTCTTTACGTACTTACGAAATAACGATCGTGGTGATGGAAATAAGTGGAAACATCAGAGGCAGAACACATAGTTTGAGAAACAGCATTGCGGCATCTGTAGAAAAATAAATACCGTAGATCTACAGAACACATATGAGGGAAGAAAAAAGCTGGCTACACACAATCTTGAAAAAAAATGCCTCATCCATCGGCTGAAAGCGGAAACGCCAACAATCAAAAATTCCAATTAGATATATTAAAGTAAATTAATTGAAATGCGCGGCATACATAAACAGTGCTTCCTCTTGGTGTCACAAAATTAACAGGGTAGCCACAGCCACATCTTCGTGATTGACTCAAGAGTCACCGGGTTACAGAAAAATTCTTCAGCCTTCGGATTAGTTTTTGCTCTGCAGAATTATCAGTAAGATTACTATAATATTAAAATTTTACTCCATGAATGAGTATAAATCATAAAAAGTTCATATATTGGTATCTTGATTCTATGGTCTAGAATCACATTCATTAATTTTTGTAACACCCCACCCCCGATTCAAAATATCGGACTCATGGAACTTCAGGAGGTGGCGACCCCGAAATGAATAAATTATATATTGCAATAAATACTGAACATACTGATGGAAAACTAATCTTAAGTACTAGCGTAAATAGTTATTTTTGTCATTTTTCGAAAATTCAGAATTTTAACAAAAACTAAATGTACGCCATTTTCATACGCTTATTTGATAAGCACACAGAAAAAATTGAAGTCATTTTTTAGAAAATTAGAAAATGTCGAGGTTTCTTTACTCCCAAAACTCAAAAGGTAAATTCAAGGGACAGCGACAGCTGTCAGATCGGTTGACCTTCCTTCCAGCAAATCCTTCTGACGGTAGCGTTTTTCACAGACGGAAAGACTGACGTTTTGCCGAAAACCAATTTTTCAGTGTCAAACACCCCCGCAATGTAGATTTAGACTACTCAACGTATTAGTGGAAGAAATGTACAACATATAGACACTAGTAAAACAGTTGCGGTATCAGGGGCCCCAAGTATTAGTTTCCATAACACAAAATGCCATTTAACGCTACGGCATTCTACATAAATGGACTGAAGTGATAAAATAAACAAATCCTGAATGAGTGGCCGAAAGAAGAGAGAAAGTATTGTGTAACTATTAGAAAACGACTGCACCCCACGAAACCGAAAATCTAGACTCGTTGATAGAAGCGATTCAAATCTTCTGATGCTAACATAAGAATTTAACACTGGCCACTACTGCGAAGATATTCAAGCCAAAGAACCAAACACAAAATACTATGTCACACGAAATAAACAATTTTTTTCATGCATAAATCCACATTTAAAATAAATGCCATGATATAGGGGAAAAGGGTGTTGAATCCAATAAAATTGTATTTAATATAAAACTAAATACAATTTTGATTGATCATTTTAAAGCAGATAAAACTTCAAGAAACTTCAAATATACACTTTTCAATAGAGTATTTGACACGTAGATTGTAAATTTGTTCATGTACAAATCCGAAAGCAACCTAATTCGACCTTCACAAAAAATATTTAACTCTCTTTATTCAAATACAGTCGAATTTACACATGAATATATTATAGTACAATCAAACAATCTCTCTGGTCGCTTAAACTTTGCTCCCAATCTAGATCCGTCTTCCACCAATATAGATTTTGAAAGATGACAAAAATATACTGTTCTGAAAAACTAAGAAAATATAAAATTCTCAAAACATAGAAGAACATTATAAACAGAAGTAAAGGAATTAAAAATAGTGGAAGAAATATTCTATTTTTGATGCAATCATTATAGTTTGATTATTGTAAGCCAAAAAGGTTACTTAGCCTACATGTTTCCTTAAATTTGGATAGAAGATTTTCTAATATGTACTTATGTAATGACAAAGTATTAACGTCTGAAATAAATTTGTACTAGTTAAAACATTTATCTAAAATTCTCATAATATACATGGGTGATGTTCTTTTGTTTATTGTCACATCAAGGTAGTCCACAATAACAGGTATTGCACCTAATCACGTAATACATGATAGACGTCAAACTTCACGTCGGGTCGGATGAAATATTTTTTGGTATTTAATTGGTTACAAAAGTTGAGTGCTTTGCTTTTTGACTCGGTAACAGTTTATGCTGGATTTATACAAATGAACTTAACCTTACTGTTCAAAATTGCCTGGAAGACGCATTGTGCCAGGTTGCAAAGGCAATTAATAGAGTGGTTGCACGATTAACAAGTTTTTCCAAAATATCCCAAAAAGAACAGAGTGAAAGTACGATTCAGAGGAACGACTTACAATTAAACCAAATGTATGCAGAAAGCATTTTTAAAGGAGCATGTCATTACTGTCCTTTAAGTCCAGAAAATGATATTTATTAACTCGTGATGTATTTCCAACGATTCTCCCAAATCAGCCCTTTTTTTAACACATGTTCTTCCAACTAAACGAAAACTTCCTGCTGAACACAGGGCTGATATGGAACGCCGAGGAGAACTTCATATTAGAACATGAAGTTAAAAAAGTACCTTTCCTAGTTTTTAAAATTATTATTGAAAATTTGGAAAAACATTACGAATGATTTTATTGTGAAGAAAATGTATTTTGTTTTAAACGTAAAATCTTCGTTTACATACGACAACGAGTAAATAATGTGACTTTAAAATGTTCGAAGATCATTCAATACAAGAATTTAAGATTAATAATTTTTTTCTAATGAAAAGTTTAAATGTACTCTTGACAACCCTCCTCAAATCACTAAATAGGCATTTAAATTTTTATGCGTAAAAAATGTAAATATATCAGAGAGTAATATTGAACGAACCAAATACATTTCTCATGATGTTGATAAAATTATTTCCAGTAAGTTATTGTCATACAGTAAATCAATCAATATTAACAAATTACACTTTTTAAAGGAGCATCTTCAACTCATCTCAATGCCAAAATCATTATAACAAAACATGTTTGTTCTATATTTTACAAAAGGTCCATGATTTTATAAACACCTTAGAGATCTACAGATATTAACCTTGCCAAGTCGAATTTATGCCCGTCGAATAATGAGTGACATCAAATCAAATATTAGCAGAAAGCATTTACAAATCAATTCAATCAAAATGAAGTTCCATGAAACTGATTTCCAATAATTTGTAGTTATTGTTTTGTTAGCTGAAACACACATAATTTCAAACGTTTATTATCAGTGGGATAGACTCATTAAAGTTCAGGCAATAAAGTTGCCACAAAAATTCAGGTCAATTGGCTTTCTTTCCCTTTCTCTAAAAAGGAGGATGTGATTCCTCCTTATCCAGTAAATGGCTCATTTACTGTAATTTGTAGCAGCTGTTTTTAATAATTCGTTCAAAAAATGGAAATATTTGGGAAAGAATAACCAGTGCCAAACAAACCATAATAAAACAGTTTTCCTACGGTTGTACCATTTTACAATAAATTAATACTTGTTCAGATATGGATGAAGTTCTATCAATGGAAGAAAATGTATTTTTTCTATCTTTCAATGTTCTTTGACCCCGTCTCAATCTGAACGATGACGTCAGAAATGCAAAGCCACCTTAGTCACACATTGTCATTCACGAAACAAAATACCTTAGAGTATTTTCAGTCTTCAATGCTTCTTTGGAGGAGTTCAAAACGCATTTTCTTTTTTGTCTCTTGTTTGCAATGCGATCTTCCAGAGAAACAATAGTGTATAATGGCATCGAGAAATCTGATTCTTGCTAGAAGAGTCTTGAAGTGTTTAGTGTATTTTATGCCACAGGAAACATGAAGACAAAACTGAAATTTTGATGAAGTACTGATGAGTGAATCTGAGTTTTTTCATTTCGTCAAGGAGTCGCCACACAGCATTGTTAAGGTACAAAATGAAACAATTGAAAATGGAAATACCAACTTCCAAAATAATGTACCTCTATGAAATTTGTTGAACGAAATTTCCGTGGAAATGCTTTTGGGTTGTAAACTAATTCGGAAATAATGAAATTTATTTTGTAATAAAGATCGCTTTTGACAAAATTGTATTCTCACTTGCTTAATAGGCTGTGGAAGCAGCACACCTAAAAATATAGAAATATTTTGTAACAGGAGAATGTAAATGCCATTTTGTTTGAAAGAAACATTCAACCAAATTCAGAATTAAGAACATAAACTATCCGTCACACAATGCGCAAACGTTCCCTTTCCTTTTTCGCCTATTCGCCTATTATATAGCAACAACTAATTAGACAAAAACTGTTCAATCGCAATAACGTCACGAATCGATAATGTTCCCATGTTAAAAATTAAATTCAATTTGCTGACCTCCCATAAAATATTGAAAAACGATAACAAACAAAAGATTAAAAATGAAATATACTGGAAATACGTCAACCATAGTATGATCTTGCTAATCCAAACACCGCAAATACGAAATTTAGGAATGTTTGGAATTACTACAAACAAAATTCGGGACGGAAGAAAAAATAAATTAAATACTTATTTGTGGTGTGAAGAAAGAATTTTACAATTACTGTAGAACTGAATTACTGTTGTGCAGTACTTTTCCCATTGTCAAGCCGCTTAAGCACTTCGAAGCCGCTAAGCACTTCCAATTTTTCTTGTAGTGTATGGGAACTATATTTTCATTTGCTGGACGTGGTTATGTACAGTGTAACACCTGATTTGTATTAATTTATACAACGAACGAAAACGAACGCGGTGTATGTCAACCCAATTTATTATTAATACCGTATGTATTTGTAGTATATCCGTTAACAGCAGCGATACAAACTGTACTTCAACTCTTCCAAACAATGTAGCAACCCCTACCCCACACGATCGGTTATATATGTTTGTACTGTACTCCGTTGTTTGTAATATTGTCACTTTATGTCCCTAAGATACGTTGCCCATTTTTCACATCGCACATTACGTTGAATTGAGTTCGCTAATCCTAAAGATGTATTTGTGTATGAACGGTACATTTATTTGGATAAACCGAACATTTCCAGATCGATAACCACATCCCACATTGGACCACACCCCCAATTAGTTCGTAATACGGGGGTTCGACTGTATAATCAAGTTGTGCAATTCCCTTATTTTAATTCATAAAAATAAGTATGTGTTTTATGATGTTTTTACTTTCTCGCTACCGCTTATGCAGTGGATAGAAAGTTCTATAGGCGAATTTTTGGCAAAAAATAGTTTTACACGACCCTGTTAACGAATCAGTAGATAACTCCAGTTGCAAAATTTTAAAAAAATCCTCTAACACGTGGTGTAACCAGAATCCATGTTTTGTGTGTCCATAATACAGAAAAACATAATGACAGCTAAACGTCAAACCGTCTATATGTGAACAACGCTACCGGCTAAACCGTACAGCCGATTTTCTCCAAAACTGTTATTCTCTAATCGAGCTAGCCGATGCCGAGACCCCTTATATTTGAAACCGATATTTTAAATTTGAGGGATACTTTACAAGAAGCCCCTGGAAGATTTTGAAAATTTTCAAACAAATGGCTCAATCGTTTTTGATAAAATTTTGTTATTGGATAGGATCATGTTAGAAGAGAATAATTGTCTCAAATTACTTGATATTATCAACACGTTGAGACTTCTTACATACGAAGTAACACATTCCTTATATAAAATATTCGATTAATGATCGGTGATTTCCTTTAACCGTCCTTTAAATTGACGTACACATTCACAATTCAAGGAGTCTAGGTTGAAAATGAAATCAGTCTTGGAGAATACTGTATTAGTAATTTGTACAAAAACGTGTGGAATTCACATTCTGGTAAGTGATAATATTCTAGTTTCTTAAATAATGCTTTTCGCCATTTTATAAAGCATATTCACAGCAATCACTTAGTAAGGTAATACATAGATAAGGCTGAGCACTTCTGCACTAAACTTGCAGGAATATCATTCACTGCTATACATTTCATTAATGTTTGTTACTCATAACTTACCACGCAGTGGTAAAGTGGATTTAAATTTCTTAAGTTATTCGTGTCAATAGTACAATAACCATCAATGGAAACAAAATTACCAATCTCTCATGGAGGGTACAATTAATATCCAAAGGTTGCAATAATTGATGTAATTTCTGAACTACTGTAATTTGCAATTGTCACATTATAACAGCCAAAAACTGCAGAAATTTGTCCTGTCAAATTTAAAAGATCTGTATTAAAAAGCAATTACATCAAAAGTGCACAGAAACCAAACCTAAATTAATCGAATATCGGCAGAATCCAAAAAAGGCATATACAAATATATCTAACAGGGGAATCGAGAGAAGGCTGAATATATGATGTACGAATCTACACCATGATCTGAAAACAGTGTTTACCGATGTATTTGTATTCTCTCCTGGTGTGTGATTTCAGTCAACGCAAGAAAGTGCTTTTACTTCTTCTGGACAAAGAATGTTTATCCTCAACACGAGTAATTACTTCACATTCCTCAATTAGCATGTACTGATTTATTTCGTCGTATTCGCATTTTGTGTGAAGTTTTGTAAATTGACAAATAAAACGTATTAACTTTAAGTACAAGTACAAATTAACAAAATAATGATACGGTCACATTAATTCCAAAAGATTGGTGTAACTTATAACGTTACCTTACCAAAATAAATTAATTACTTCTCCCTACATTAATTCTAACAGATTCCTAAATCATGGAAATTGTATTGTCAATTTATATAACTAAATAATATTGCCAGCCTACAGTGTGTAATAAGGTTGCGGAAAAATTCACAATGTTCTACAGGCATCTTACAATTCACTCTAGCCAACACGGATTTTTTATACATCTTTACGAATGCAGTGGCACTGAGCTAACTACAATTTAATAAAATACTGCTAAACATGTTATGTATGAAAAATAAAATATGAACGTCTTTGAATCAATTTTCAGGGATAAGGTTATATTTTTCTATATTTTCTTTATATTTGCGCAATCACTAAAACATAATTGAATAATTTCTTTGGCCTACTGGTAAATAAAACGTTCTCGAACAACTATTTGTCCTGGATATATTCTTCAGAGGTTTTTGCTCGCAAGTACTCAGTATTCAGTGACTACTCCAAAGTACACGGATGGAAATTGATACACGGCATAAAATAAAATATTTACGTAAAAACAGATCTTTATTACAATCATGAACATTCAAGTGGATCTTCTGCACCTTCTGTGTTCTTTGAAGAAATCTCCATAGCGAAGTGATCTTTCCCCTTCGGAAACTGCATCTCCGTCAGCTTGAGTCGCCATTCCATGAGAATCTTGTAACGTTTCTTCACGTCTTCAGGAATCTTGTCGAATTTCGTGATTGACGGGTACTCGAACTCGCCCAGTTCCAGTTTCTCGAACCAGTCCGTGTACAGTGACGGAATGATATCCCACGAAGGGAACTTGCTGAACCGGAAGAAGTAGCGGATAACGCTCCAAAATGAACTGTTGTTCATCAGCTGCAGGTGAAAGACCCATTCGGGAGCGAAGGCTGGCATGTCCTTGAATTCGCCCGCGATGCCCCATAGCCGGCAAAACCTGTTCACTTGGTGTGGCAGTTCCGAGCACAGAGGCCATCTTTTCCTCTCGAAGAAAAAGTAAATGATTCTGGAAAACAGGTTAGGGTCCAGGCGTCGAGCCACGAAGACGTACATGGGGATAAGCCGAAACTTTTCCGGGTCGAAAACCTCGTTGTCATCGTCCAGGTGAACTTTTTTCTCGGAATATTTGCGGCTGTTGGCAGACTTCCTGTCAATATTTCGCAGTAGCCTGTACACACAATACAAGAATGTTACAACGCTTGAAGAGTAATAAATTTTGTCTTAAGCGATTTTGATTTGTCATTTCTTTCTTCTAAAAAATGTACGTTACGTATGCCGGACAAGTATAATCTGCACACTTTATCTTGAGCCACAGCATTGCATCTTTTACTATTAGAAATTGTCAATATTTTGGAGCATTTTGTACATACAATAAAGAATGTCACAATGCTTGAAGAAACATTGAATACTGTCATAAGGAATTTTGATTTGATTTGTCATTTTTTTCCTCTAAAAAGAGAAAAAAATGTATGTCATTTATGTCGGACAAGTATAATCTGAGTACGTTTTCTTGAGCCCAAGCATGGCATCTTTTACTATACATTGTTGAATCATGAAAAAAGTATCAACAAATTGAGATTACCAACCTTTGAAAACTAAAAATTTTATCTTCTGAATAATACAAAACCTGTTTGCATCAGTAAACGAACAACAGATGTTATTTTATAGTATTGCTTTTAAAACGGCAACATACTCCTCCAGGCTTCCCTACTACCACACTAGCAAAAGGAGATATCAAGAAAGCGTGCGCATAGTGAAACTACATTTGTGTTCAGAAGCAGTAAGGGCTTGGTAAATGTTTAATATTAAATAACAATACGGAACTTATTCACATAGTAAATTATTCAAGACCAAAAGGTAATTTATTTAATCGACAACACCTCTAAGCGGATCGGATCCTTGCTATTTATTTAATCAATAGGATGCATTGGTCGACGCTTTATCACTCAAAATGCAAGCGTTCAGCACCATTGTCATTTTATGATTTTCTTTTCCACCATCTTTACAACCTACAACATGAATTACACGTCAGAATTTCAAGAGAGTTGTATTCGAATTCGTCTTCGTATCACCTGTTAGACGCCTTTTGATAACCATTGTGGACTATCAGAGATCTAATACTAAAGCCTGCTATAGCGGTTGTGGTGGGGTAGCAGCTAGCGTATCGACCCAAGTTCGCGGGTTCAAATCCAATCGACGCCGTGGATTTGTAAGAGCGAAAATACCCCTGGCATGCCTTACTTCCAACGGGATGCAAAGTCGGCTGTTCATGTTATAGACTTACTGCTTGAAAAATATCCCAATACTTAAAGACCTTTCTGAGCTAAATCCTGACGGCTGTTTTGTTGTCCATTTTATTTTGCTGATTCATTGAGCATAGCGAAATTTGCATTGTCAGTCAAAAGAGCAGGCCTGATAACCTGAGCCTCTCCACGTAAAATAAGGCAACATTGGAAGGACCCATTAATCTAGGGAAATATTTATTTTTCTGTCAGCAATACTCATTTCATTTGGAAGAGATCTGTTCGCTTATATTCTTTACCTTGCAGACAAAGTCTTCGCCTTCGCAGAAGACTTTCTTTTGAAAAGGCTTGTTTCCAATTCTTCGTCTTCCTGAAACAACGTCCACGGAGTTTAAACAACTATTACATATGTTGTTCAACAATTAAATATACGTGACAAGTGATTATTTTGGGTTTCGCCTAAGGGAATATTGTGCGCGACCCGTGGTTCCTTTGTTTGAGTCCTGTCGTTCGTTCGTTTGAATCAATGAGCTAGAATATACTGCGTACTTAGAGTGGCTGTCCCAATAGTTTCAGCGCTCTTGGTGGAGGCTCACCGAACTAGTAACCGCCATAATTTTTTAAGTCAAAACATACGAGTGGCGGTGTAACCTGGACGTAACAGTCCGTAACCATTGCCCATAACCAAACTAATGATAGAATGCTTTGTTATCCAATATGTATGTAATCCAATATCAATATCAAGAAATGGTTTGTACCAAATTCACAAATTCATAGAGAATTAACTGCAGATTCAATTAAAAATCATTTATTGAATATATTTCATTTTGGTTCCTCTTTACTTAACTTCCCTCCTCTACGTAACTCGAAAATTTAATTTTGGTCTATACTTAGTAGAGTCCATCTGAATTATTAGTAATATTATTATTGATACCCAGATAACACTGTATTATAATCAAAACTCTTTCAAATTAAACAACTCTCTTAGACTACCAATATTAGTGATGGTGTAAATGAGTTATCAATTAGTGTTGCGCCAAAATCTTATTGTGAATAAGGCCTTCTGGCAAACAACAAGAAATATATAGAAAGAAAAGAAAATTGGCCACTGGCACTCGCTGCCTAGGATCTCCCGGTCGGTGACACTGCAGTGTACATTATTGTTGCTCTGAGCCATCTCAGCCGATGTTACTTTCAGGCAAATCCAGATTTAACTTAAGATAATCTTCCAATTAATCTTACCAGGAAAGTGCGTTATATTCATTATATAACATTTAATTAGATTTGCGTGTATGCAATATATTGTGCTGAGTATGGTCTGTTTCTGGCAATATTCAAATTCCACTGGGAACCGAACCCGGGACCTACCGTTCATCGGAAAGAAGCACGTTTCATCCACATAATAATCCTACTATCTTCCAACCGACGTTTACATGAAAACTCCAGATTTCATTCTGTTACGATGGCAGCACTTCCAGATCGCCAATCAGTTTGTCTATATGCTTTGTAGTGCACCTCCCTCCGTGCCGTGTACTTTAAAACAAAGAACAGTTCCTCTCTCTTGTCAAACACGCTGTACATTTTTATATTCCAATTTTAGATGTCTTTTGGTTTCCATCATTTCTTCATTGTAATACTTTTTAATTAACTTTAATTAACAAATTCAATTACCCTATAACAACTTCCTAATATTTTATTGTCTAAAAGTTTGTGTAATCGCCCATTTCTTATATCCTCTTGTATTTTCAAACATACAAACATTCATTCATTTAATAAAATATTTTCATTATTATATAATAATCCAGAGTTCGAATGACTATCCTTCATAACGGTTTTTTAAATTATTGATTCTGACCAGGTCTTCACCAGCATAGTTCCTTGGATTTTTTTAAAAGTGAACATTTTGAATGAACTTCCACTTTTGCACCTTCGACTGTTTCTCTTTTAACTAAATACGTCAGCTTTTAGTTATCTCATTGCATATTTTTAGTCATCATTGTGACGCATGCGAATAGACCGTCACAGATTGCAGCCTATTTGTGATATATAGAAAATAATCATCTCTGGTTTCTGACATAATAAGGTTTGAATAAATTATTTTAATTTCCTTAAAAGTTAAAAAGTAATTTTAACTACCTCAGTCCAAAATTACAACTCATTTTTAAATCCCACAGAAGTTAGAGCCTTTAAAGGCTAAAGGGTAACATTTATCTCTAACGGATTTGACTGTGAGAACACCACAGAACGATCTGCAAAACTTTGATGAAAAACAGACACGAAAATAGCACTTACAAATTCATCGTCGTCCGATGCTGTGGTTCCTCTGGTAGAAATACATCCCTGAAGCACTGCATCCCTTGCATACTCCAGGTTATTCTCGGTTAGTAAATCCTTTAACACACCCGATATACTAGCAAATTTACAACAATTATAAATTATATAAAACATGTTATATACACTATTAGAGATATTAGGTTCAGTCGGGATTATTATGATACAGAAAAGCAAACTTTTCACTTTATATTCTATACCTTTTGTTGCAAACACATAGGAAAATACTGAAAATGTGCCTTTTGATGCTAAAGACGTGTTCAAAGTAGGAAATAATTTAAGACATGTCGCAAAATCAAAAATGTTCATCAAATTCGATGGAAGGCGAAATGTTGAATTGTAGTTACTACTGTAAGATTATTATTACTGTATGTGTATTATTACGGAATTATTACGAATTATTATTTTCAATCACCATGTGCAATTTTTGTTCATAGTTTTACACTTGTGTTTTAAGCGTAAAATCACACTGATAATTCTGAATATAAAGACCATCATACCTTTTAACAATATTACTCATAGTTTTTACCATTACCAATAATACCCAATAATTCAAAGACTACAGATTATAAATGTTAGACGAAACGTAAATAAAGAAAATTTACCTTAGACGTATTTGGAAGGTCTGTTGTAATGGGTTCATTGCTTAACAACATAGTAGATTTCTGAAATAAACAAGAAACAAATAATTACTCAATTATAAAAATTCCTTTATTTCTGAAAAAAGGAGGAGAATAAAAAATAGTGGTTCTACAACAGCAAATCTTTGCATTACATGTAATGTTCACGTAAAATAATCTTTCTCAAATTTTGGGTACTTATTGAAACATTAAAAGGCTACATCGAAATAACTTTTATATCGCGTTTTTCATTGCATTTTGCTCTATCTTCTCGAAAAGTTTAAAGACAAAATTGAAGATAAACATTATAATAATTCCGTGACAATTTTGAAAATATTATTGTCTCCACGTGTAGCACCGGCCCCGAAAATATCCCTTTTAAATTAAAGAGACAAAGATATCAGACAAATCGATCGGGGAATTCGAATCAATTTTGGTGAAAATCCTCCCTACGGTTTAGCTGCTTGTGTTGTTCAGACAGACGTTAAACCGCCGACCAATTTTTCCGTAACAAGGACCCATAAAACATGGATTCTGACCTCACAGCAAGTTAGAAGTAATGCACATTGGAATACAATTTATCCACTTTTTCTATACCCAGGCCCCATAATACCAGTTTTCCTGTCGAAAAATCTCCGATTTTCCTCCCAACATCAACACTTTCTCTTTACTACGTAAGTATAAAGCAGACAAGAAAGTAAAAGGAAGAGAAGGTGAAGAAAAATAAGAAAAGAGTAAAAAAGGAGGAGAAAATGAGGATGACAAGAAGAAAACATAGAAGTGAAGAAACAGAGAAAGGCAAGAAACAAGAAAGGCAAGAAACAGGGGAAGGCAGAAACAGGGGAAGGCAAGAAACAGGGGAAGGCAAGAAACAGGGAAGGCAAGAAACAGGGGAAGGCTAAGAAACGGGAAGGCAAGAAACAGGGGAATGGCAAGAAACAGGGGTAAGGCAAGAAACAGGGAGGCAAGAAAACAGGGGAAAGGCAAGAACAGGGGAAGGCAAGAAACAGGGGAAGGCAAGAAACAGGGGAAGGCAAGACAGGGGAAGGCCAGAAACATAGGGGAAGGCAGACAACAGGGAGGCAAGAAACAGGGAAGGCAAAAGAAACAGGGGAAGCAGAACAGGGGAAGGCAAGAAACAGGGTAATGGCAAGAACAGGGGAAGGCAAGAAACAGGGGAAGGCAAGAAACAGGGGAAGGCAAGAAACAGGGGAGGCAAGAAACAGGGGAGGCAAAGAAACAGGGAAAGGCAAGAAACAGGGGAAGGCAGAAACAGGGAAGGGCAAGAAACAGGGGAAGGCAAAAAAGGGGAAGGCAAGAAACAGGGGAAGGCAAGAACAGGGAAGGGCAAGAAACAGGGGAAGGCAAGAAAACAGGGGAAAAGGCAGAAACAGGGAAGGCAAGAAAACAGGGGAAGGCAAGAACAACCGGGGAAGCAAGAACCAGGGGAAGGCAAGAACAGGGGAAAGGCAAGAAACAGGGGAAGGCAAAGAAACAGGGAAGGCAAGAAACGGGGAAGGCCAAGAAACAGGGGAGGCTAAAGAAACAGGGGAAGGCAAGGAAACAGGGGAAGGGCAAGAAACAACGGGAAGGCAAGAAACAGGGGAAAGGCAAGAAACAGGGGAAGGCTAAGAAACAGGGGAAGGCAAGAAACAGGGGAAGGAAGAAACAGGGGAAGGCAAGAAACAGGGGAAGGCCAAGAAACAGGGGAAGGCAAAGAACAGGGGAAGGCAAGAAACAGGGGAAGGCAAGAAACAGCGGGAAGGCAAGAAACAGGGGAAGGCAAGAAGCAGGGGAAGGCATAGAAACAGGGGAAGGCAAGAAACAGGGAAGGCAAGAACAGGGGGAAGGCATAGACACAGAGAGAAGGCAAGAAACAGGGAAGGCAAAGAAACCAGAGGAAGGCAAGAAACAGAGGAAGGCAAAAAGAAACAGAGGAAGGCAAGAAACCAGGGGAAGCAACGAAACAGTGGGATAGGCAAGAAACAGGGGAGGCCAAGAAACGAGGGGAAGGCAAGAAACAGGGGAAGGCAAGAAACAGGGGAAGGCACGAAACAGGGGAAGGCAAGAAACAAGGGGAGGCAAGAAACAGGGGGAAGGCAAGAAACAGGGGAAGGACAAGAAACAGGGGGAAGCGCAAGAAAACAGGGGAAGGCCAAGAAACAGTTGGAAGGCAAGAACAGGGGGAAGGCAAGAAACAGGGGAAGCAAGAAACAGGGGAAGGCAAGAAACAGGGGAAGGCAAGAAACAGGGGGAAGGCAAGAAACAGGGGAAGGCAACGAAACAGGGGAAGGCAAGAAACAGGGGAAGGAAGAAACAGGGGAATGGCAAGAAACAAGGGGAAGGCAGAACAGGGGAAGGCCAAGAAACAGGGGAAGGCAAAACAGGAAGAGAACTAGGGAAGGCAAGAAATCAGGGAGCAGACGGGGAAGGCAAGAAAACGGGGAAGGCAAGAAACAGGGAAGGCAGAAAAGAGCAAGAAAGGGAAGGCCAGAAACAGGGGAAGGCAAGAAACAGGGAAGGCAAGAAACAGGGGAAGGCAAGGAAACAGGGGAAGGCAAGAACAGGACAGCAGGGGAAGGCAAGAAACAGGGAAGGCAAGAAAACGGGGAAGGCAAGAAAAGGACAGAACGGGGAAACGGGAGCAAGAAACGAGGGAAGGCAAGAAACAGGGGAAGGCAAGACAGGAGAAACAGGGGAGGCAAGAAACGGGGAAGGCAAGAAACAGGGGACAGCAAGAACAGGGGAAGGAAGAGAACACAGGGGAGCAGACAGGGGACACAGAAACAGGGGAAGGCAAGAACAAGGGGAAGGCAAAGAAACAGGGGAACAAGAAAGGGGAGCAAGAAACAGGGGAAGGCAAGAACAGGGGAAGGCAAGAAAGGGAAGGCGAAGGGGACAGGGGGCAGAACAGGAGGAAGAGGGAAGGCAAGAAAACAGGGGAAGGAAGAACAGAGCCAAGAAAACAGGGGAAGGGAACAGGGAAGGCAAAAGGGGCAGCAAGGGTGGCAAGACCGGGAGCAGACAGAGAACAGAAAGAGGAAGAAGGATGGGTGTTGGGATAAATAGAAAGAATAGAAGTTGAAGATACAAGCTTTATTGTAAGAAGAAGAATAGAAAGTTAGTTTTGGAGAAAAAAGCGAAATAACTAGTAGGAGGAAAAGGAAAAGAAAAAAAAATGTCGTAGAAAAGGAGGAGGAGACGAAAAGGACGAAGAGAAGGAGAAGAAAAAGATAGATATGAAGGAAAAGAAGTTAGAGAAGTAGAATGATGAAGGAAGAAAAAATACGGATGAGGAGAAAAAAAATATAATGCTGCGGAGAATAAAAGGAAGAAGAGAGTGTAGGAAGAGAAGGAAAAGTGAGAGGAGGAAGTAACGGGGAAGTAAAAGAGGAGGATGGCACTCGCCTCGGCCATGTCGATGATGCGCGGCCCGTGGCTTCCCTCTCTGCGCCGCGGGGAGGTGCTCGACCGCCAGGCCTCCAGCACGCGCGCAGTCGCCTCCCGGTTGCGATCGGCCTACGCATCCCACACCACACCACATGCCGCACTAGGCGCACAACACTTAAGGCAGCCGCTTCTGACTCTACATACACTGCACGGAATGAAGTGGATTCAGGAACTCTACAAAAATGACACTGCCTAAAATCTAGTAACGTTACCATGTAGATATTTTTCACTTACCCAGTTCGTGTCCCGAGTTCTAAAGCGACCCTTGAAAATTCTGCCCGACCATCTCCCAGCATTCTTAGGGCGTATGTACCACTCCTGAAAACGTGGGAATTTTTTTATTTAGCTAATATTTACAATATATTGCAAATGTAAAATAATAAGTAAAAACAAATTGTTAATAGCAATATCAAATCAAAAGAAGAAAGACACCCATTGGTATATTTCTTGGTATCTTTCTCAAATCTATGATGAAAAGATCATTGAAACTTTAACTCATTGTTGTTAAGGGTTACGATTAAAAATATATGAACATTTTGAGAAAAATAAGAAAACATGTTTACACGAATGTTAATCATAAAAACGGAGGGAGAGATGAAGTAAAAATTCTATTGAGTCGAGAAATTTCCTGGCGATTGTCAAGTAGGTTTATAACTACACGATTGGGATGCATTTCCAGACTTTGGTGATATTTTGCTATTATTTCTTGAATCTTTTCTTCAACTGTTGCTATACTGAGGTCTCGATGTAGTGCAGCATTTGTTATGAACCAGGGTGCAGATGAATATATTCTTAAAAGATTTGATTGAAATCTTTGTAATATTGACAAACTACTTTTGCTGGAAGTGCAGGATCTTTTATCAGTTATTTAATGCCGGAATCTCTGGTCACCTGTTTTCGGAGAGCGGCAACGGTTATAGTTATTTCACGGTAAGTGTAGTGCATGTTTGTATCGCGAGAGGTAGCATTGACCATCACCCGCTTGAGGGCGAGGTCCGGTTCCGACTACCGGGGTCGGCTTACGGAGGTTTCTCCTTCAAGGGATCTCCCATCAGCTGGCCATCACCCCAGCCGACAAGTTCTAAGCAACCGGCTGGTGCGAGGTAGTGTAGGAGGTGACGAAAGGGAAAATGAAGCGGAATTAAACGTGGCTCCAAAGTGCAGAACATCTAGAAAATTCTTTACCAGCAGATCAGAAAATCTTTTTTTTTATAGCATGGACTTGATATTTATCAAAAGTTGAATATGTTTTAACACAAAGATGGTAAAAATAATTTGAAAGTAATAGAATTTTCCTTCAATTACTTTGCCATTTTTTCTGGTGCTTGCTGTTGGAGTCCTCAGAGTGTTCTAATTGTCTCGGTACGCGAAATTCGAAATTGTGCGAATGGAAATATCTCACTTTCGTGACAGTTTTTAATTTTATTATTTTTCAATATATAATTGAAATTCGACATTTTTAACACTAAATATTTTCCTTATTAAAGTTATTCAAACAATCCTATCCCTGTAGCCATCTTTCAAATCAAGCTAGTGGCACAGTTAACAAACACATTAATATGCAAAATTCCATGTTACGATGACTTTTATCCAATTTGAAAAATTGAAAATAAAAATTTACTGAATAATTCGAAAAAACCTTCTGCAACTTATTGTATAAAATTATAGTAAAATTGATCTTGAAACAGATATGCTGCAAAAGGTGTTCTTAAGAATTGATTTTCTCCAATTTCTGGGATTTTCACTTAAACAATATAACTACTATGGTCGAAACGTCTTTGTTCTGTATTTATTTTACTGTAGTAACTAGAAATGATAAAAAGGCAGAAAAAGTCTACTTCTCACCTTTTGGTCTTCCGGGAGGGCAAATTTTTGCCCTGGTGTCAAATCCGTGGAGGTCATTTCGATGTTTCGTTTCGCCTTCAAAGCTATGTAATCTTATGAGGGTTTCGCTCTTCACATTTTGAGGTATTCTTTGAAAAAGAGTAAAATTAACAATAATCTTGGTTTCTCAAGAGATTGTAATGTGTTGCCTCAAAGCTTTGAAATTTCGTTGATGTAACATTTTTAACTATAAGTTGAATAACAATTCACTTTGAAATTTATTTATGTTACGCTTTTACTCATCTTTCAACTATTTATAGTTAAAATGACGAGAAGGGATTGTGGAACTCAAGTAAACGTGCGCAAATAATCTTCTCCCCCATACGTCACATAGTGTATTTACTGTTTTTTACTAAATAAATAAATGTGCTCAAAGAACAAAGAAATTATAACATACACTTTGGAGACTACATTGAAAATGTGGAAATAATTTCTGACATCGAACTCATAATTGTAGTTCGTATTCAATTTGTATTTTATATAGCTTAATTATTATATTTTGTTCATCATTCTGTTTTAATGGGAATCTGATCACCCACTCATTTTACTTGGCGACTGAGTGCAAGTAAGAAGTGAGGATTGAACAATGGCAAGGAAGAGGAAGGAAAGATTACGCGCGTGACAGGGCCGGTTTATTAGGAAACTGCGGCATTCGCCTTGTGTAGAACGGCCAAACCACGGAAAACTACTGGTGAGAGCAGACGGCTGCTAGAATTCTCCCCCAGATGGCGCGACTGAGTTCGACCGGGCTATCTAGCTACGGTTAAAAATCTGCCAACATCGGGAGTCCAACTCTAGGACCACGAAAACAGTCTCGCTGAGACGTCGAGAATTTAACTGCCTCTGGGTCACTCGGTTTTGTCAGTTTGGAGCGCCTCACTATTCTTCGACGTCTGGAACGCGCTCTCGATTTTGAGAGAAAATTCCTCACATGTCATAGTAACGCAACCCCCTTCAGAGCTCTGAAGGTGGTGGTGGTGATGATGATGATGATGATGATGATCATGATTGAGGTGTAAGGGCACTTCAACAGTTAAGGTCATTGACGCCCATCTCAAATTATTTTAAGAGCAATATGCACTGTGACAGTGCCAAGCTAAAACACTTTAATGCAAGTTAAAATGGTAGGTAAAACTGAAAATGATATTTTTCAATTATATAAAGAGTTTGGCAGAAAAGAGCCAGATGAAAAGTTTAAAAACTCTAACTAAATCCAAATAATTAGCACTATCCTTCTCTCAGATAGGACTGTAGGTAGTAGTCACTCGTAAGAAGCTAAAAAGCTTGCAGAGAGTAGATTAATCATTTCCCTGTACCTCTGCTTGAGAGCTAGCAAGGTGGCGTTCCGAAGGGGAATTTTGAATTATTTTCTGCATTAAAGGGGTAAACTGTATCTTGTCAATTTACTAGTTGCCCTACGTTACTTTCTATAGTGGTCTTAAAATTTTGTTGCAATAGGATTAGTTGCAAATGAATTAAAGAATGTATGTACATTGCCAGTCATGCAATTACTTTCCTTTGATATCCAAAGTTTTGATTTGTAAAGTAAGTGGCTAGTCGATCCAAAGGCTTCATGTTTAGAGAATGTTTGTACATATTGGAATTGCTTTGGGCTGAGTTCCGAGGACCTAATCAATTCATAACCTTGTTTCTCTCTTCCGATGTGAAAGTTTGAAAATACAGTATTATTACCTCGGGTGTTTTAAAAAGTAAGTTCACATGACTTTTAACCAATCCATAACTCGTATGCTTCCTGTGTCAAGGCCAATATTGGTTTCTGGTTCCCATGATGGTCAGGGTTTGACGTTTCTGTTCGAGAACAGTGGCACATTTGTAACGTTGCTCGGCAATGAAACAACAAGTACTTCGGTCCTACCGCTGTAATTTCAAAACAAAATTTCGTTGATCAAACAGCGGAAAATATAAAAAAGATATATGTAAAACAATATTAAGCATTGTGCTGTTCATGAGTTTTGGTCCGTAAATTAAAATAATATTCAAAACACATGAATAAGTAAATCTGTAAATTAAAACCAATTCAAAATCCATGAACTACATGATAGATTCTACTACAGATGTTTGTAAAATACACTATTGTTCACCATCTTCTACCAAAGGTCTAACTGGCCAAAGGAATTATAAATGTTATATAAAAACATCGGAAAAAGACAGCTTTGTGCACAAGGTTATTATTCAATAGAGAAACAAACCGAATGCGCTTCATTGACTACACGATGCAACGATAAACTGAAGATTAATTGGCGCTCCAGTACAAATGCTTTCGTAAGCTTCATAAGCGACACAATTCCCAACTTAGTGAGGCATCTATAATGGATTAAGCAGTTTCAAACGTATTTGCATATTTATGAATTTGAGGATTTATCAATGCCTAGCGGAATTCGGCAGACATCCTGTTCTGTTCTCTTCCCTCCCCACCCACTCCCCTCCCCCAATGACGCGAGCAGAACTTTGTGGCTATTTTTCGCCAGTTGATTCCGATTATTCTGTGCACTAATACATACATGGACCGGTTCGGATACAGTTTGCGGTTCGTATACAGAAAAATAACACTGCCAGTCGATAAACAGTGAAGAAAAGTACGATGGCTTAACGAAGTATGAATGAATGAAAAGTACGAAACCAAAGCAACTACAATTCTTAAAATTTTCAAGATAGAAAATAATATATCTGAAAAAAATCTGAATTCTACGTTTGAGTGAAATTAAATTTGTTATTTCTTTTTAAGATCCAAAGCATAACTTGTGAAAGCTTATTCTTCTTAAGTAGATATGTTTAAGAAATTATTTAAACGCAAGAAGACATCAATAACGTAAATTAATTGCTGCCTTTATAACACCAAATAAACAAAACAAATATACAAAAGCATTAAGTTGTGTTTGTAGTATTTACAAAGAAATTCAACATTTTAAAAACATTTTACTTTTTTCAATACTCCAACACATTTAGTGATATCTTGTTTCACATTTGTTTGATTCTGGTTTTAATTGACACGTAGAAATTACATTCGGCATATATGCTTGTTTCACATAAAAATATCGATGTTTTCTTCAAGGAAAAAACTTATCTTGCAGTTGGATTATTTGTACACGTGGGACTAATTAACTTTGGTGGTTGACGCGCCGGTATCACTAATCAATATGGGGCGGATTTCAATGAAGTGTCATTTTTTCCTTTTCACTTAAGAACAGCATTTTCGTTGATTTAATTAATTTTAAAATGATATTAATTGTATTTGCTTCAAATAATAATGGCGTGATGCAATAAATGTTCTCTACAGAACTTCTGAGTAGGCTATTTGATTTCTTTGCTCAGATTGTAACGCTGACCGTTGTCATTATGTAATCTGAACTTCGTTTTGACACCTATCAGCGTCATTGTCAGTTCGGCCGATTTTACTATGACTAAAGACCGAGATTTTCTGGTAAAGAACAGTCCAAACTAAAGGTCTGCAACCTGAGTTCACTTGAACCACAGCCCATTATACTTGAACGGAAGGGAGAAGCCTCGATCACATCAATAACATAAGCCAACGTCCAATAGTTTGAGTTGCTTATCTGAATTGGTTTTGATCAAACTTCTTACGCCGTATTTCTTTACTTTTAGGGCATTTTAAAATCATTTTAAGAGCCTTGTATTGATCGTTTTGGGGAATGTTTTAGATTATTAGTATTTTCCCCCTACAAATCAAACTAGTGGCTGTGTAAAATAGTAGTTTACACAACAAGGGCACGAATCATGCCATTCACTCAGAGATTGTAGTCCGAGCATAGCTCGTACGACAAGGAGACGAGATCGGTAATCCACTCGCGCCCGAGTTGCGTAGACTATTTTTTTTAACAAGCCGAGAGCGAAACGCAATGCGTCAAATAAAGGAGTATAAAATAAATATCAAATCGCTCAAAATACCTTACTTGTACAAAAGAAAATGGATCCCAGTCTGTCGTAACACTATTGTTTTCAAAGAAACACAAAGACGTCCTCAAGACGAATGACAATTGCGAAACATAACAGACGTTTCGCACACGATAAACCGCGTTTCGCGCATGGCGTATTAAAAATTATATTACCTACCTTTACGTAGCTCACACAATCCCTCGCCAGCCACGCAGTAGACAGCGCCCCTCGCCGCTGATAGCCTCCGGTCGCGACCTTGAGCGCTCAGACTGTCGGCAGTCGTTCAAACTACCGTTGTCTTCAGTAGCCCTCTTGAAAACGAACGCTATCACTCACGCGTTTCTCGCGTTGTCTTTCTTTTGTTCCTCTTTCAATTGCCGTTACAGATTCGTGGACTCAATAGTACTCGCTTCCGAGACACATTGAACTTGGAAAATTATCTTAAATTCATTACACAATGTACTTGAATTGAAGCGCGTGTTTTAAAAGTTTCAGCACCGTTGCAGTAATGATTTAACAGTTGTACGACTGCACTTCTTTTGCGGCACGAAGTTTACGGCAATTTATCACTTAGTGTGTTTACATTTGCAAAGCAAAAAAGTCCAAATAATTAGCTAATAATATTTTTAACACGCAGTGAGTGAAACGCAGTTTTTTGTGCTTATTTTCCGTTTACGAAACAGCAAATTTTTCCACAGAGTGCAATACATCGCGAAGCATGTGCGAAATCTGTAATAATACGCAACTATCTTTCGTCCTGACGAGACCTTTGTTTATTTACAAACAATAGTGATACGACACCAACTAGAATTCATTTACTTTTGTAAAAGTAAGGCATTTCTAGTTATTTGATGTTTAATTTTTATTCCTTCTCTTGACGAACTGCGTTTCGCTCACGGCTACCAAAAACATTGTATTCGCAACACGGGCGCGAGGTGATTTCCGCACTCGCCTCATTGACGAACTCGACTCGTGCGTGAATCTCCTTGTTACGTAAACTACGGATTGTTTGTTAAACTGCTATTTGTTGCATCGCTCTTGAAAATATATATCTAATGTCTTATTACACGTACGACCGCGGCAGACGTCCCTTGCCGTAGACCAGGTTGTAGTCCAGACCATAGCTGTAGTCGGCCTCGGTAGTACCTGTGGCACATCCGTCGCCACCGACGTCTCGCGCCAGACTCGCCTTTTCGATTCGAGTTCTCGAAGCTCGTTACGTCATTCCCGATGCACCAATGAGGGCTATTCGATATTTCTCCATGCTCTGCAGATCAACACCGTGCTTGCTCCTTTTGCTATATAATATTTACTACGTAAGTTTTGGGAGACTTTCGTTTTCGTTATCAACAACATAAATATTCCTTGACTTGAAAATAATATACTCGATAAATATTTTGGATTACATTTAGGCCAACGTCTCACTTGCAAATCTTATATTAAAATTGTCACTAACAAAATCTACCACATAATTTTAAAATTATACCCTCTCTTTCATAACAATTAAAAAATAAGAATATATTGTGGACATTCAATTTTTAAATCCATAATTCGCCCTTCTCTAACATACGCTTGTACTTTTTTGATGTAATGTCTCATCTAGTAACATCAAGAAAACACAAGTTATATAACATAAATTACTAAGAACAGCACTAAACGCAGATTGATTTATATCTAATAGACAAATCCATGCAAAGCTTCAAATTGCTTCTATTAAAAACTTTATAATAATTATCAAACTCAAAATTTCTTCAATACATTATCATTTTCTCTTGCATCACAGCACTTCATACTCCTTTTCGTATTCGTTCACACTTTCCCAAAGGCATGTTTCGCTCTCTCTAAATGTAAATGTTTATTTTGTTTGATTCAACATCTTCTAAACTTAACCTTTAACTATTTTTTCTAATTTATTATTATTATTATTATTATTATTATTATTATTAATTAATATTCATTAATAAGTACAGTGATGAAGGTGTGTTTTAAAAAGCAATGGGTGAGGTGCTCTCCGGACAATCAGGTAGAAGTGTATTGTATCCTGGAGAGATCAAGCGTGTGGAATTATGGGCTGCATCCCTTGTCTAATATACAGGTTTGTTTGAGCTTTTAGAATATAACTTACGGGGGATATGATATTGATTCTCTACTTAATATTATTTTCTTTACTTATATATCTATTATAAGGTGGAATAAATGAGGCGTGAAAGGACTGGGGTGATCATAGGTGTTAGGTGAGATAGTGGGAGGTAGGAGGTGTTCGTGGGATTTTGGAACCAACACAGCATTCTTGAGAGACTGAGGGACCAATAAATTATTCCTAAATTTCATTTAAATAATTCTCATAAGATAATTTATTTACAGAATTATCAAATTCAAAAACAAAGTTGTCTGGTTCAGGTGAGTAAATAAATTGAATCATAAGAACCCAATATTTATTTAAATTTTTAACTCCTTACAATCTGTGCAGCTTTCCGACGAAGAAACCTGCAAATTAATGCAATGGACAGACGTCGTCATACGACATCTGAAACAAAATGTAAAATTATAAATTTAAAATATTCAGTTCAATATATGAAATATTTCAAAATATGAGTAGTTTTTGCTTAATGATGTGTGAAATAAAGGCAATTTTTTTAATACATAAAGGTTTTTTCAAAACCTGCTCCAAATTTTTTTTAAACTTTGTGTACAAATACACTACACAATTCATTAATAATATGGCATAAGGCCTATTTGCAATAAGAGAATTTTGATAATTGCAAAAGTTTATTTTTTGACATCATCCTACAACTACAATATTGAAAATAAAATCGGGTCTTGAAAATAATATCTTTAAATAATGTTATGAATTTTTTAAAATAAGAGTAGAATTTGCGTAATTTGAGTGAAATAGTGACAACTCTTGAAACATTACGTTACTACGATTTTCTCAAATTCCCAACATTTTCTTAATTGTTTACCCTAACACGTCATATTTTCATTAAATCATATAATTTTCGAAAATTTCTCATATTTGACTTTCGTTTTAAAGTGTCGGGAAGGTTGTTTTGTAAACTCAGCCTTTTGGTGTAGTGGCTCTCAAAATTGCTTGCTCCAATTATCCGAAATCGAATCTCAATGTCAGTAAACATGTTCGCAGTTTGGAAATATTTTTGTAGATTCAGGTAGTATTAATATATTATATAACTGTTTAAATAATGTGAGAAAATGTCATGTACAACCACTAGTTTTCTCTCATGAAAATTAGCCAGCAAAAACCATGTCGCTTCGGAAACTAAACGTCTTCACTCGTGGATAAAATTTAATTTTAACCTCATAATATACAAATTACTGTAATTTTTAAAATTGAAATAATAATAATAATAATAATAATAATAATAATAATAATAATAATAATAATAATAATAATAGTAATAATAATAATAACAACAACAAGAAGATGATGATGAAGATGATGAAGAAGAAAATTAAGAAGATAAAGAATAATAATAATAATAATAAGAAGAAGAAGAAGAAGAAGAAGAAGAAGAAGAAGAAGAAGAAGAAGAAGAAGAAGAAGAGGAAGAAATATTCTACTTACATCGTCGCAATGCTCCGGAAGGCAATCGTACATGTAATGGAAATAAGTTTTTATTTCTTCGAAGTCATCCCTTTTGAAACACTTGTCCGTGTAACCCTTTGCTTCCTTGCATTTGTTGTATGCTTCTATGACCTAATCATAGGTAATAAATAATGGTTAAACAATCATATATAAAACAATAAATTAATGAAAACATGTATTTATTTTTATTTATTTCAAAAGAATATCCTATTTGTTGAAAGTTTAAATGTTATTCCACATAATTAAATACTGATGTACTGTACACTGGAACGGAGTGGGGTTTATGATTTACTCATCATTTCAATATGATATATTAGGTCTATCCTAATTCCTTCATAAACAATTAATTCATCATAAACGAACGTCTTAAATACGTTTGATACAGCCTTGAAGGGTGATCCCCACTCTAGCAGTACCACGCTTGAACGGAGAATTATGTCAATGGTTCCGTATAAATGATCAAAAGTATCTTTCCTTCCCGTTGTTTACACAAAATAAGTTATTTGGTGCAAAAACTCCACCACCTCTTCTCCTCTATTAGACAAACAAATATTTCCTATGAGATTTTGTGGAGAAAACTTACGTTACTGCACAGCAATTTTTTGCCGACCTCTCTTGTTCTATAATTACCAGGCAATTGATATTAAAGGGAGTTGAAGAGCTGATAAATTTATAAGTCGTCTTTTACAACTAAATCTACTACTTTCGGCTAAAAGCGACGGAAAACGAAAATTTCTGAATTGACGAAATTGGGTGCATTTTACAGCCCTGTATCAAATGCAGAGCGGTAAACATTCCGTACATTGAAAGCCGTTCCACAATAGACAACTTTTGCACATCAACGCTCGAATATCAGCCGACCCGGCTATTGACACGTAACACGCGGAACACCAGTCACAATCTTTGAAGCAAATATGTGTTAACTGGGCTCGGTTCGGTATACGAAGCTTCATAACCTGTGTCAAAACGTTTGCCGGTTATACTGCCGGTGCGGTGTTGGCTTCTTGGTGTGTCTTAGAGAAGTAAGATTCACCATCGCAGACAAAAGTCAGCTGCGATTTTCTGCAAACGATGATGTATGCCATTGAAGGAAGTGTTGGATATATCTATATGAGGATGGAAGCCAGTTAGGACGAATAATGAAATTCTTGTAGTTTCGCAATCCGGAAAGCCCTTTAAAATATTAGTCAATTTAACTTTTCAAATTTTACAAAATTTATGATTCCAGAGCGATTTGGTTCTAAAATTACGTGCATAATTGCATTTTCTACACCGTCCTTGTGAATATTCTGAAGAGACAATGCCTTAATTAATTCTTCCATAGCAGGGATCAACAATGCCAACTACGAGCACTGAAAAGAACTCTTCGTAAAGACCTGGCTTGGTCCACATCCAGAGCGTAAGAACAAGTGAACAACTGACCACGCTCCGCAAAAGCTTCTCGCTGTTGTTATTCTCAACTGCGTAGCGAGAAAGTTAAAAGATGCTTACCTGGGCTGCTCGGTCCTTGTCCGGGTTCTTCTCCATGAGTTCCGGGAGATAGTTAGGGCAGATCTCCTCTCCTTCCCCACTGACTTCCATCATAAAACACGCTGCGTACGACTGCGGAAAGAGAACATGAAAAATTACGTTTTAGTAAAATTGGTGGAAATTATTTAAATAAAAATGTCATTACCGTGGACATTTATGACCTAAAAATGTTAGAACTACACAAGCATTTATGAAGTAAAAAATACGAAAATATTACCATAAAAAGGAGTTTAAACATTTTGGTTACAGTTTCGAAACTTTCAAAATATTTTCGCTGTTTAAATAACCGTTATACTGAAAATATACTTTTAAAATCTAGTACATTCACAATTCACACGTTCTTTGGTGCCCCGTGAAGACAATTCTATCTGCTAAAGTTATTTATAGAAGAGGGACAATACCTTGGCACAAAACCTGACAAAACACTTCCTTCGCATCTGGTTTATTTTTCTCCTTCTGTATAGCTCACCCTCCTAATTCACATAGATATATATTTATAGGAAAATTACACAATTAGACAGAATAATTATTGTAAGAAATTAGATAAAAATTGGGAGATAGGAAAAATCTCCTAGTAATTGTAAAAAAATCATGCTTAACTTATATTTCCCATGGAAATAAAACAACAACAAAATATAACATGTCATAAAATCTGGGCCCCAGTCATTACCAACGTCATTGCAGAGCACTCAGACTCTAATTGTACAGCAACAGTTTTTGTCACTTAAACTTTATTCATTTTAATTGCTTATTATGATCGGGCAATGTATTTTAAAGTAACGTGCATTTACAATTAAAGTATCTTGTAGAAGCTGTTGATACTAACACCTAATGTATATGATTTCAATGGCATGTGTTGTAATTTTAATAAAAATCTGTGTTGCATGAAAATATGTTCCCACCCCCAAGTCAATTAGTTTTCACAAAAGTTTGAATTTCGAGTAACAAATACAACAGACCAGATGTCCGAGATGGTTAAGGCCCAAGCGATCTCGGACCGAAGGATCCTGCGGGCATTATTGTATTTGTGCTTGACCGTTCACCCCTTTCCTCACTATATCATGTCAACTTCACAGTTACCATACCGTTTAATAAAATAGTGGTCGCTAATGACCTAGATGTTGATGTGACCGCAAATAACAAAAATATACAAACTTTAAATAGATTTTCACAGCAATCGTAAGATTTCGAACGCAATAAAGATATTCAAATTATACATCCTATCATCTTTACTTATTATTTAAACTAAATTTGGAAACTTTTTTCATTTATTTCTTCATTCATAATTCTTAGAGGATTTTTGATGTATTAAAACAGACGTTATCTCACACCCCTATCCTTTTATTTAGTTACATTCAGTTCATTCACCTCACTTTCAAAAGAAATTTATTTCTGGTAATTAGACTAGAATATTATTTTAAGATGGTTTTAGGCTTAAGTTTTTTAAATCAGCTAAGATGTATCTGATGAAATTATGTTCGCTAAGTCATCGAAAGCCGTCCACATAATAAATGAAAATGTTGGTAATGATAACCTCTTTTAAAATAACTTTACTTAACTATCAAGCCAACAACTGTAACAAAATTGTGAAAAATATGCATATTAATAATAATAATAATAATAATAATAATAATAATAATAATAATAAAACAATAGTATATTTTATTACTGTTAATTTTAATATAAAACATTACTTTGAAAGGCTGCTTCAGGGTGTGACTGATTCGGATAATCTAGTTAATACAGTATCTTAAAGGGTTTGCTAAGAATTAAGCGATTCTCTTCAAATTATTTTAGCAATGACATCTGCATGAAATTTATTCTTGACAATTGTGCAAAAGTCAATTTAAAGAGAGGCAAAGTGACGTCAGAGAGCGTTGGTGTTGATATGCACACTGTGATTTAAGATCTTGATCCAGGTACAACTTAAAAATATGGGAATTGAAACATGTGAGACCATCTTGAACGACACAATGAAACAGACAATTATCAGGGAGTATTACAGAAGAGTGAGACTAAGTTGTCCTGCAGTCCGCTCTAAACTCCAGGAACAAAACATTTGCAATAGATGGTTTGCCGAGGATTATTGCCGAGTTGAGTTTCGGACTAGTGGACTGCACTGAGCAAAAAACTCCAAACATGGATCATAAACTCAAAAAATTGCTTACAATTAATCATGTAGCTCACCCTTGGTCTGATTTACATACACTTTATGTGACACGTAAGGAAGGAAAAAGAGGTATTAGACAAATTGAAGACTCCTGGCAAATACAATAGTCGGGATGGGAAAGTAAGTAGTCAGCCATCAAGACGACTACCAATGAGACTGCTGATGAAATCTGACTGAAGAATGAGAAACAAAGGCATTGCAAGTGTAGCAAGAAGCTTTTCAAAAACGACTATACAAGACAACTGGAATAACACAGACACTGAACTTCAGATTCTACTTAGCATGAAATGTGAGACAAAAAAATGTTTTTAAAAAATGGAGAGATGAACCACCACATGGACAATATTTAAAAAGAAAGGTCCAGGTACAGATAAAAATAAACAATTTATGTGACTTAAAAGGGGAAGTCTGAAGCCAAAATCGGAAGCAGTTCTAATAGCTGCCCAAAATCACCCCTTGAGAACAAAACAATATGATAAAGGAGTTCTCAAAATGTCCCAAGAATTTAAATGTTGCATTTGCCAGGAACAAGTAGAAACCATTTATCATATCGTCTCATTTTGTCCAATTCTATCAAAGACCAAATACTTGAAAATACACTATAGAGTGTGTAGTTACTGCCATTGGCAGATCTTTAGCGCCCTCGAAGTTCTCATCACATTCCCCAAGTAGTAAGAACACTTAACAAAAAGGGTGAGGTCTGTTGGACTGTGTACAATAGTGCACAGACAACAAATTCACACAGATCGCAAGATTGCGGTAAACAAACCGGATATTGGGATCCGGGACTAGGAGAAAAAAGTGACCACTTATCTATGTTGCAGTGCCGTGCGATCAAAACGTATCCAAGGAGGAAGAGAAAAGTCTTAAATGCCTTTGGAAATTGAAATCAGCTTATTGTGAGTGTAAAAGCACAAGTCGTCTCGATAGTTATCTGAACACTGGCATTTGTCTGGAATAAGAGCATTGATAAAACCACAGGTACTTCAAAATAACGAGAATTGAAAGACATTGCTTTATTTTGATCAGTCCACATTTTGAGCCAATTGTTGTCGAGGCACCGACAACTAGCTCCTGAGGATGTTGGTTGCAACCCAGAGTGATTTATAATCAACCGATTCATAAAATCTTTAGTCGTGAATTAGAATAATAATAATAATAATAATAATAATAATAATAATAACAACAACTCCAACTGTCTTCTAACTTTCTAAACTTACAGTAAATATCTACACGTTTCTCCTTTCAGTAAAAATAATCCACAGTACTTACCGCTTCGACGTCTGTCATCGGATGCTTCATTCCTAAAATGTTCATCATATCAACTGAAAAACAAGAAAACATGTTTTAAAATGCATGAAATATACTGGACATGACCATCATGGAAAATCAAACTCCAACTGTGGAACATCTTTGTATTTTTTATTAGATTAGGCTGTTAGCTTCCAGAAAATGCGTTTTCGCTAAATCATAACTAACAGAGGCTATACGTTTTCATTTCCTTTAAACTCACGAACAGTTTCCGCGAAGAATAACCCAGAAATATAAAATTCAGATATTTTTCACTCTTTAATAATTACGTATGTACTTACCAAATCCGATTGGATACTTTGCCAAGCACGTTCTCACTGCATCTCTCATCTTCATGTTATTTTGTATTTTTTGCGGCTGTAACAAGTTTATGCTAAAGTAAAGTTCATTATTGAAAGTAATTGAAGACAGTATGTCGAAGAATGTTTATTTATGTATTTGGGTATAGTGTGAACTATTCAAATCTTAAATGATATTCTAATCTTTTCGTCGTTTGTCAAGTTTCTTCTGACTCTAAAACTCTTAAAATATTCCTTGGTATTTACTCCAGAATAGGTTTCAAAGTATTCAACACTTCCTATTTAAGATGTAAGATAAACCAATAAATTGATAACACAGAACTTTATTGACAAACTTTGGAAAGGTGGGCAGTGACTTTTGAATGGAAGAAAAATAAAACTCCTTCTGCGAACGTATGCTCGAAAATGTCTAGGGATTTTCTTTCTACTGTCTTTCTTTTTTCTTCCTCTCTTCAGAAAATGCCATTTAAAATAGATCTTGCAGATCTTTTCTGAGAAGAGGAGTATTTTTTTTCTCTAAACAGCTGAGAATTGGATAAATGTTAAACGAGTATAATGTGCAGCATGGATGGTGGTAATTCAAAATATTTAACTTGTTAAAGTAGTTGGATTAAGTGGAAAATCGTCTATTTGATATAGCCAATATTTAAACCGATTTTTTACTGCGTTTTCAAGACAATGACAGGATCAACCTCTAGAAAGTGGAAACGCTGTAAAACAAGTTACGGGTCTAAAATATAATTACGCGCATGAGTACAAGGAGGCACGTGCCATCTGTGGACTTCTCTTGAGCTCGTGGATCCCTACCCTGTTACACACACCAAATTAAACTGAATTGTGAATAAAAGTAGCAACAAGCAGTTTTGGCAAGAACTGACAAGATTATATTGGCTCCAGTCTAAAAAATATTTATCTCAACTAAACATCTGTCCCCGAAGAAGTTTTCAGAAGATTAATAATAATTACTATAGTTATTGTTCATACAGTAATAGTAATAATAAATACTATTTTCGAAGACATATTGATCTATAGACTTTGAATATTAACTGTTATCGTGCCCGATTCATGTTGTTAGTGTATTAAAATATGAAGCTTTGTTTTCTTTTGATTATTAGATATAAAAAATAGTTACCACCAGCAATTAGCACACGTATCCGATTTTCTAAATATTGAAGTACATCTCGATTCTTGTTTGAGCCGGCTTCCAGAATTCACTTCAAATATAAATTTCTGAACACAATGGTTGAGTTTTGAGAATTCAGATTTAACTAAAATATTGTGGACAAAATACGAATAATAAAAAGTCACAGTTTAGTTCAAGTTTAGTCTGAGTTCTAGAATGTTTGTTTGAAAAATGGGCCACTCACCAAACATAGTTCCTTTTCTTTGAGTTTTCTGTAGAAGAATAAAGCTTTCTCGGCTGGACATGACCCTTCAGTAGATGCTGTAAAAACAGAGAAATTAATGTAACGATGAAATACATTTACATTTATTAATAGATCTACTAATAAATTCCGTGCCATTTTCTATCATTTTCCTCAGTTTTTCTTCACATTTAATGTAGTGTACCTATCTATTCGCAAATTGCTGTATTTTAGAGAAAACAATTTTTATTATACACTTTGATTATCTAAAGTCAAACTGTATGAAACTGAGATCAGTTCTTAATAAAATATTGTTCAACTGTAACAACTGTTCTAATAATCTTGTGGTCCACTCTCCACATGGAACGTGCATTAATTAATAGCGTAATGTAGTATTGCAACTAATTCCGGACATCCCATTAACTACAATCAACTTTCACTTTTCTAAGGAAAAATTGTAAAATTTAAACAAAAATTATAGTTTAGTGAAATTTGTAGAAAGTGAAAAAATGTTAAACGACATTCGTATTTCGGTATCTTTGTTGTAATTAGGGAGCCGATTTTTATGCCCTAAAATATCTTAAAATATGCTTTTAAAAATATGCATTTATGACCTAAAAATTCTAAAAGATGCTTTTTTTATATGCAAGACCTCTGATATAAAAACCTCTTGATATACAAAAAAACAGATATGGTACAAGGGCCAAAAGATATCACATTTTTTTGAAAGTCCCCTAAATTCAAAGGATGAATTGTTGCTCCCAAATTGCATAGCGCTTCTGATCAAAAAGGACATCACCCCGTTTGATTGAACTTTTCCGGAGGCGCCAACTTCTAGGGACATTAGTCTCTTTAGAGACGTGTCTCGTCCCGGCAGGTGGCGGTGTTCCTGCCCAGCTGGACGGTGAGATCCGGCTCTGTTGGCTTGGGATTTTCCCATCCAGGTTTCTCATCCCAGCCGAGTTAAGCTCCCTACTTGTCTGCCGATATGTGTGGTAATGTAGTGCACAAGGTATGTAAGGGCTGAGAGGGACGGCAGGGAGCAGAGAGGACAGACAGGACAAGGAAGAGGAAAGTAAGATCACGCGCGGTCCATGGCCTCGTTGTTAGGTTGGGGCTCCGATATTCATCGCAGAAAAACTAACTATACAGCAGCCGGTTGATAGAATTCTCCTCCAGGCAGTGGCTGAATGTGATCTCCACTTCGATTTTTTTTAAGTGGCCGACAACATCAGGTCATTGTTACTTCTGCCTTATAAAAATGATACTTTACTTGATTCGCGAACGCCCCTATTCAACGGGCCTATGGCCTCAGAAATGCGCTTTCCACTGTTCAAAAAGATTTATTTTACAAGGAGGTGCAACAATGACCTAATGACATCGGCCACTTTTAAAAACTCGAAGAATCGAATCTACCACCGTCTGGCTTCGAACCCTAAGACCTCTCGGTTGCTGGTTTTAAACTAACTCAGTGGGTAAGTGGGTTATGTAAATATACAAGTTCTCAAAGAACAATTAATTATTTTTACGTACACTGTGATATATATATATATATATATATATATATATATATATATATATATATATATATATATATATACACAAATTTAGTATAATTTTTGATAACATGTAATTAAATGACAACACCAGTTCAATATAAAACATTATATTTTTTCTTAAGGTTTGCTTACCCTCTTCGGCTGCAGCTTTGATTATACTTAATGCATTCTTTTTCTCATCCTTTCCTTTCCAAATGGCTCCAACATACATATCAAACCCATCTTTGTTGAAGTCACCATTCTCGTCTACCTGCAAATTCAAATATACACGTAAATACTATGTACTTGAACATATCTATACACTTTGGTTGTCTAAATTCAAACTTTACGAAACTGAGGTTAGAGTTAAGGAATAAGAGTTCTTAGAACACAAATGTTTTCCACTGATAGCAGTTTCTTAATCCCTGTACAGTACATGAGTAGTTACGAGTGCGCGTGTGAGCAGATTCATCACTCACGGTTTGACTACATAGGTGTACCAATCGCGCCATATGAGGTGTCTCTGTCTTCGACGCGTCTCTGTCTTCTGGTGGAGAACTGATAATTTGTTTTCGGATCAGCCCAGAAGATTCTAAGAAATTTTCAAAATCGTATTTTTGCGTGCTTTCGCGCTGCGATCTTAGTGGTCAGACGGAGAATTAAACCAACGCTACCTAAAAAGATCTAAGTAGGTGGCGTTGATTAAACCCAAGTAATTTTCGGTCCACGGCACCATAACTTTCTTCTACGAGAAGGACAACACTGTTCTGGAACGTGAAAGACGCGTCTGAACTGTCAATTATTGACAGTTGCTACTTTGTAACAGATCCTGCTTTCGACATAAGATGTGAAGTGTTTCGTAATAAGTGTTTAACGTTCGGAATTCGTGTTAATAATAAATTTGCACTTACGTACATTATTACCTCGGAACTTATTAAATTAAAAAAAACAAGTGAATATGGAGAAAACCAGAACTGTGAGTAATGTTAGAGAACAGAAGCACACAAGACTTTGCGAATTTACATTTTTGAGGGTGCAAATACAGTGGTAGGATCAAATGTAGTTGTAGAAGGTTTCATCACAGAAATTTCGAAACTAATTAAGAATGATCTTGTGTTAAGATTAGAAAATAGCCTACATTTGATCTTTTATCTAAATGTTTGTACATATTAGCAAAAAAGGTACAAAATTTAGCTGTATTAAATCTTAACTACTTACATCATCCATACCTGCAAGTATTTGTTACGATAATTACAATTTTGATATTGCAATATTACCAGTTCATATCCCGTACGGAGCTAACATTATAGGTCATTGGAAGATGGGAATTTTTGAACGGGAGTATAACATCAAGAGCTACTATTCATTTATATGTCCAATAGCAGAGACTGTACACACTTTTATGAAGGCATGCAGGCATGAAGGCATGAGAATTTTCATCTCATGGAAAAACATATAAAAGAGTTTACGGCTTCAGCGACGCCACATTAACTAGTAAGTGTTAGGATTCGATGTCTCTTACTGGAAAAGAATGCATTTGTCTCTGCCAGGGATGCACAATAAAATTTCAACTGAAAAAGTTCAAGTTTCAAAATTGAAACTTCATGAGAGTAAGGATAAATTGATTACTAGTAGTAAATATTGAGTTAATCCGGGGTAGACGAAAATAAATAGTCGTATTTGAAACATAAATTAGCAAAGTTAAAAATAAAAAAGAAATGTGCTGGGTCGCAATAAATATACCAAATTCCATCAGTCATTCAAAGCGGCATCTTCACTATCTACGACAAATTCTTGTGTTACACATTCCTGGTAATAACATGGGGTGAGCTCTCAACCGTGGCGATTACTTTGCCCTGTTCGCCGTTACAAGAAAAGCTAAATGGTCACATGGTTGACTATTAGCGAATTACAACACCTAGTTTCATTAACTAATTCTTTGAAATTTTCAGCTCAATTTCGAACATGCTCAGCTTGTCCCGTTTGGGGAGGTACCCCGCTGCTAGGAGATACCTGGTTGGGGAAAACAGCGCTGGCTAACGATAGGTCGTTGCCGGATCTCATTATACAGTGGAGGAAAACCACAGCCACCTCTCGAGAAAAAAATCATGCACTACACTTACGGAATCACTAACAATCAATAGAACGTGCTCAATTATATTATACTTTCCTTACAATTCCGTAATATAATACAAGAATGAGATTGCAGATAGCAAAACCAATTAATAACAACAAAACTTTTCTTATAGTTATTTTTTCTTTATAGTTTGATCTGACACATCACAATTATGAAACGTGAACCAAAACTCTATAACTAATGTATACAAACTGGGGTAAAAAAAAATCGATTTGAATGTGGTTAAAAAAATAATCGAGAATTGTTCATTCAATATTATTTCAGTTGAATCCACAAATATTAAAAACAATCTATGAGGTGATGAGTTTTATCTTATTGATTGTCTTTAACATCTGTGATAACATCTGTGAACTCATACAACTGTAATTATCTAACAAAATATTCTTGTAATTGATAACAGTACAGTTTTCAGTACTTTCTAGAGGTTCGATGAAAGTGAATTACTAAGTAACATTAGTTTTATCTGTTTCAAAACTTACGATTCCTCCTTGACCGTAGAGGCACGAAACAAAGTTCTGAAAAACAAAAACAAAAAATATTACCACCTAGCCTAGCAAAAATGTTGCCGTCGAGGGTGTGGAAAAGGTGTCCTCGAGCAACACAAAAGAACGTCTGTTCTTAAACAAAACACGTGAATACAGGTACTTCTTTGTTCTTCGTCGAATGGCGTTGGCTCCGTCGCACCTAGTGACACACGAAGTCTAGTGAAGCAAAACAAGTGACCTTCAAACAGATTCAGGTCGAAATCTGGCCTCATATTTTTCTTCTATAGATAAATATTCACTATTTCTATACGTCGAAACGTTAGCTGCCGTCTCGCACTGAAAGTTACTGAAACAATAGGAAAGTTCCACACTTTTCACCGAGCATTTCGTCTTTCCCTCGGGGTTTGCACAGCCCTACCTGCAGTGAGAGAGTGTCTGCCAGGGGAACAAGCGTTTCTAAGGGCTCTCCCTCCAACTCAGGGCAGCGAAACGCAGCCAATGACCTCGCTCACGCCTTGGACAAGAACGCAATACCGCCCGTCACGGAACTTAATCTTCCGACTAGTTCGTCATTGAGCAACCGAAACCCGGTGTGATGTCGAAATGTACACGCGGCATGCAAATATATTTAACTTGGTTTGGTGAATTACAACGAAAAAGAAAATTTTGAATGTCATTGTTCCGTTCCACGTGACGGTTCTGAGCGACTCGGAAGCCTATGATTGGTTGATTTAAATTTTTATAATCAATGAGCCAATTTGGGGACTCTCTAAGCCTCCTCGCCAAATAAACCGCATATATAGTGTATTGTCAGTGAGTTCTTATGATGAAGCTCGATTTGTGCTGAAATGGGATTTTTTAAAATAAATCTAAATATAACATTAGAAATTTTAAAAACGAAATTGAATTGCAATAAAGTATAATAGTAAATTTTAATAGATGTGTAGGTTCATTGGTCTAAATATAATCGATTGAATTGTGCGTAATAATATATAATTATTGATTGCCGCACTAATTGCGTCAAATTGCGAATAATAATAATAATAATAATAATAGTTATTATATAGGGGACAAGAAGGGTGGGGTGTGGCAATAAAATTTAGTGTAAATACAGAGTTAAAATATTCGCATGAAAGTTTACTTACCCACGCCTGCTCGCGTTCCTTCACATCTGAAATATCCTCCTCGACTAAACTTATGTCCATTGACATGAATCTCCTAAAATATTCTGAAATAGAGAAACATCGGCTTAAAATATTATTTTGGAATTTTTTACATATTGAATTTTTACAGCATTATTGTACCGAAAGTAGAAGGCGTGAGTATGATGAATAGGGAGAGGAGTTTTATACACTGAAATAATCTTGAAATATGACTTGAAAAATATGAATGTATGACCTAAAAATTCTTAAATATGCGATTTAGTAGGCAATTAAAATTAATAATATTCTGGGTTGGCCAATATATTGCGAATTGCAATTGCCACAAGACTCAGACAGATTGACATCCACGTCACATTCGGCACACCAAACAATCTCCATAACACACTTTCCCAAAACAAATATCCCATCCCCAAGCGTCTATCATGTAGGGTATATTCTATTTCCCGTGGCAATTGCAATGCGAAATATATTGGCCAAACCGGATCCTTTAAAACAAGAACACGCATTTAATGCAACCAGGGACGTCCAAAATTGGGAATTTGACATCAGATACACTCACAGAATTAAATTGGAAGCTACACACAACAATAATTTATTAAACAATCGCCAACGCACCACTTTAAATGAACAAATGCCTTCCCTCTCGCCCGTCCAGAAGCTGGCCGCTTCCCACACCCCCCCTTCCCCTGACTCTCTTTTCCTCCACCCAACCAGGCCTTTCCCTTAATGGACATATCTCAGCAAAACTTCGCTTTCTACCCCTCTCCGTTGAGAACTTTCCTTTAAATAGCGTACAATGTTCTTGACCGTCTCTGTCTGGTTCGAACCGAAGACCCCAGGAGCCTCAAAATCGGTATGTCAGTGTGCTCTTCTTAATTTTATTTATTTATTTGTCTAGACTATTTTTGTTTTATTTTACTTCGCTTAATAATAGTATAATTGTTTTTTCGTGTACTCCTGATTCAAAATTATTTTCTCGTTTTCACTTTTTATATTCCATTTTTTCTAATTTGCTTAAATTCTAATTGTATTCATAATAACATTCTGTAAAATATTATCTTTTATATGTAATTTAGATATATTGTTATTATATTTGAAGCAGTAACACATATTTCATTCACACATTATTATTATTATTATTATTATTATTATTATTATTATTATTATTTTACTCGCGACTTCAGTTAAATTAAAGTTAATACTAACTACCCGCATGAAAGTGGATACTTACCGTCTGATATCTCACAGCCTGTCGTGCTTCGGCACTCCGAAAAAAAACTGCCCATCATCCCGGCCATCATTCCGCACTGTGAATGAAACGATTAACGATTAATCTCTCTGGCGAAGAATAGCATAGGCTACTCACCAAGAATTTAAAAAAACCTACTAATCATCCCAGATATCATCCTGCAGTGTGAATGAAACGGTTGCCGATTAATCTCTCTAACGTAGAATAGCTTAGGCTGCTCACCAAGCATAAGGTGCATGGCCACGATAAAAAATATGCACTACACTAACGGGACTAATAGTCTTAGCAGTTGTCTTAGTAGTAGTGATTGAAACTACTTTTAGTTAGATCTTTCTAGAACATACTCAAAGAATTCTGGAGAGGGCATTTTTGGAGGGCTTTTAATGCTCATATGCAGTGCTGAAACGCTGCCAATGCGAAGAGTGCTCAAACGCTATGAATTTCTATACTACCTTTCGGGATAAACATAAAGCCTTATTTCATGAACTTCAAGTCTGACGATTTACGTTAAAATTAACTACGTAATGAAACATTTTTAAGTACTTCTATCGATACTTATATCATGTAACTCTCTATGCTAAAAGATATTCGAGTCTAGCAACTGTATTATATTTCTTTAAAAATGTTTATTTGCGTAGCACAAAGTAAAAATTTCCACATGAAAATGTTCTCGGCAGGCACAACGCTGAACTAGTGTGTAAGATTTTACTAAAATATGAATCTAACTTTATGATCACGCCAAATATCTTCAGTCACTGTGTACAAACGACGTTTGTCAAAGTATTGAAAAGTATTCATCGACATGAAATTTACATCTATATGCGAATGTTAATTCGCAGAACCTCATTAATCTAAAATGAAGTTATTTTTTAATATTTAAAATTTAATGATATCTGTATTGTCGAATTTTTGAACCAATTTTTAGTTTGAGCTATTCAATAAATTTATTGTAATAGAACTTTTAACAGTTTTAAGCTCTTGAAAAGTTTTTACACTCCTAAGTCCAGATGAATTTTTTTAAGTATCAAAACGTTGAAATTGAATGCAAATAAATAATTTATTGTGATCATTTATTGATGAATAACTATAAAACTGTTCAAAAAGAAATCGAAAATCCAGCATCAATAATGATATAACCGACGTTACCCAGTTCCTTGAATGAAATTTAGTTCAAAGTTATTGGAGTCTTCGGGGGTTATTGCGGAACAATGAATTACTGTAAAATGTTGGAGGCACGGCTCCATGTCCAGTCAGGATGTGGAGTTCAGTCGCACAAAAGGGAAATCAGCACATTCGTCAGGGACAGAACTTTTACGTTGAACGATAGCATCTCAAATGGACGAACCGCGGAAGCATTTCAAGGAAATAAGCCGGCTGAAAAAAGTCGAACCCGCTGGCACAAAACTGAAATATTTCAATGGTATTCAGTGGCAGAACTAGATAAGAGTTTCTGACATGAAACAAGCACAGGAGTGGCTGGAAATGTCAGTGTACCTGTCCGTTTAATTAATTACTACAAAATGTCTTTTTACCAGTTACAGTTACGAAGTAGCTCGAAACGTAAACACAGAATTTTTAAGGGAAGGGGAACTACAACAGCTCGAACATTCTCGCATTATTACTAACTTCGGAATTTTTGAAAATTCATAAAATTTAAATAAAATTATACCTTTGTCATTTTTTAAGCGCCCTCTATAAAACCTGCTGAAATAATGAAAGAAAAATTGGCTGCGTTTTTTGAGAATTTTTTTTTATAAACTGCATTAACGTGAAGGAGAAATTGAGTTAACACCACTCGTTTTTTCAAGAAATTATACATAACTTTTTTCAGAGATGTAATTTTTAGAACACATTTTCTCTAAGAGAAGATTTCAACCATCAATATTGTACTTTTACAATGTTAAGTTTTTGCAACTTTCGAAAATTCAGAGAGTTCGCCAGAAAGAAGACTAGTGAAATTTTTGCCGTCCTTTGATACATATTTTTACTACAATTTACTATACATACAATTTTTTAAATTTCAAGTAGTTTTTGAGAAAATAATTGTTTAAAAATTGCCTATTTTTCACGTGAAAATTATCCATATTGTCGAAAAAAGTGAATATGGCATTATTTCAAGATCTAAAGAATAAATCTTATTCTACAAAATATCTATATATTCCAACAATACGAACCCCTATCTCATGGCCACCGTTGGTCAGCTGGCGGCCATAGCCAGTATCGGGCTATCGACTTAAGAACAAGACATGACCTAATAGAAATTGAGCTCTTTTTAGATTTATCCAGCCAAAAAAAACTGTAAAAACTGTATGTGACGTAGGGGGGAAAAGATTATCTGCGCACGTTTTCTTGAGTTCCTGACTCCCTTTCCGTCATTTTAACTACAAATAGTTGAAATACGAGTACAAGTTTAACATAAATAAATAAAAAAAATAAAAATAGCATGATTAGCAATATTTGAAAAATAGTCTCTTCAAATACAGTCATCTATTTTTGAAAACAGAGTGATCGTGACCACTGATTATCACGTAACCCTACGAGCGGAAATCACAGAAAATAAGATAGCATGATCAGGGCTGCCAACGATTTGGGAACAATCAGCTTCACGAATGCTATAAGTTTCGTGTATACACGAATCACATCTTTCATGTAGCATTGAACAGAACATTCAATCAGATTTTGGTTCAATTGGCAAGTACGAAAAAAAAATAGGTTAACAGGAAAAACGCCATAAAACTCTTTCTTTGGTATTTTTTCACCTAGTCACTAGTTATACCATCAAATTTTCTACATTCTAGACCGTACTAACTCTGAGATGCCCGAAATATCAATAGTTTTTTCTTTCTTGGGTTTTCTCTATAACTCTTTAACCTGAAGTCCTGTTAAAAATAATTAAATTTTAAAGAAAGTACAATTTCTTCCATTTTTTGGTTTCAAAATTTTCATTAATTCAAAACTAATTATTTCTCAAGTCATAGCTTCTCAAATAAGTCATTGCCTCAAAAAGGGTAAAAAATATAAAGGCATATGATTGTACAATCAACTTATAAATGGCACCCCTGCGCCATTGAAGTCAGGCAGATGTGGTCCAAAGGGGAGGTGAAGAACGAGCTTCACCTACTCGTCGCTGTCGATACGAGGAGGAGGTTATGTGGTGAGCAAACGCTCCGGCCGCCTTTACCCCCACGAAAGATTCAGACACTCACTTGGAATGAAGACTGAGTCCACCTCAGAATGGCCCTGAATGAAAACCACCAGATAAGAATCCCAATCTGACACGGGATGCGGACCTGAGTCCTTCAAAACAGGAAGCCGGCGTTCTACGATTGAGCCATCGCGGCTACATAATCAACTTCAAATAATCATCATTATTATTACATGTATTACGAATATGGATATCGCATTCGGGGTAAATATTTCCTCAGAAATGTAAATATTTGAGCAGGTATTTCCACGATACGTATAATAGAGGCAAGAAGAGCTAGTGACCCTGTACAATCTCCAAAAACACCTGGTAAAGCAAGGTTCAAGGAAACCAATTTATCATATTCTATATAACTATATTTTTTTACATACTATAATATTTCCAATAAATTTTCACGTATGAGATTTCTTCTAATAAATGGTTGATTTAGAGTATGTTACGTCAGTAAAAAGTGCCTGTTTTGTAAATTGCCATTTAGACAGTCGCAGTTGATGAGAAGAAATTCATTATAAGAAAATAAGATTCCTCACGTAAGGCAAACTCGTCGGTGTGCTTCCCCAACTTAAGAAATTAACCAGTCATGCATTACAATCGGTGAGGAGATATTTTAA